GACCTCTATCAGGGGCAGTGGTTGCAGAAGGAGGAACCCTCCTTGAGCTGAGGACCCCGCTGTCCCACATGGTAGTGTTTCCCTCCAGAATGTCGGGGGAGAGGAGCCCAAATTCTAAACCAGAATTCTGTGAAATTGAGCAGATGAGAACTTCCACTACTGGGGTAGATCCTATTCAGACCACACACCTTCCACCCAAGGGACAATGAAATGCATGGGTCCCATAGGTCAGCAAACATGTGTTGGGTGCCTGCCTGCAGGGGGGTGGGTCTGGCTCAGGGCATCAGAGACACAGCAGGGACCAAGTGGACCCAGACCTGCTCTCATGGAGTCACAGAAAATAAGGAAACATAACAAGAGCCAGGCGTGATCGTTCACACCTGCAATCCCAGCACTTTGGGAGGCTGAGGTGAGAGAATCACTTGAGTATAAAGAGTTTGAGACCAGACCAACATAGCAAGACCCCATATCTAAAAAAAAAGAAAAAATTTTTTTAAATGCTTAAAAATTAGCCAGGCATGCTGTGCTTGCCCGTAGTCCCAGCTACCTGGGGAGGCTGAGGCAGGAAGATCACTTGAGCCCAGGAGGTCAAGGCTATAATGAATTATGATCACACCACTGCAGTCCAGCCTGGGTGACAGAGCAACACTTGATTAAAAAAAAAAAAAAGTAGAAGAAGAAGGAGGAGGAGGAAAGGAGGAGAGGAGGAGGAGGAGGAGGAAGAGGAGGAAGGCAGAAGGAAACACATGTTGGGGAAGATGTGCAGAAAATTATTTTTAAAAACCTCAGACATTGCTGGTGGAAATGGAAAACTGTGCAGCTGCTATGGAAAAGCTTGAGGGTCCCACAAAGAGTTAAAATCGAGTAACTATGTGACTCAGCAACTCCACTCCTAGGAGTCCACACCCCACAAGAGTTGACAGCAGTGACTCAAGAAGATACCTGTGCATACACATTTATAGCAGCATTAGTCACCTCCACCAAAAGGAAGCAACAACACAAATACCCATCAATGGATGAATGGATGAACACAATGTGTTCCAGACACGCTATGGAATATTACACAGCCATAAAAAGGAATGAGGCACTGATCCATGCTACAGCCTGGATGAACCTTGAGTATATGATGCAGAGTGAGAGAAGCCAGAATGCTGTCTCTTGTATGACTCCATTGATGTGAAATGTCCAGAAAAGGCAAATCCACAGAAACAGGAAGTAGATTAATGGTTGTCAGCCGCTTGAGGAGGGGGAATGGGGAGTGACTTCTAATAGGGATGGGGGGATGAAAATCTTCTGGAGCTAGACAGAGGTAATGGTTGGACAACACTAAATGCCACTGAATAAAATGGTTAATTTTATGTTATGTAAGTTTCATTTCGATTTTTTTAAAGTGCTGTGGGAATAACGGGGGACCAGTTAGGGAAGGGATCCAGGATTCTCCCTAGCCTCCTGGAGGAAGCAACATTTACCCAAAGCCTTGAAGGAGGTAAGTAGAGGGGAAATCACAGCCAATGACAGAGTCCCTGGGTTGAGATAAAATGAAAAGTGAATTTTTAAATTTTGTTATTTCTTTTTTGAGACACAGCCTCGCTCTGTCGCTCAGGCTGGAGTGCAGTGATGTGATCTCAGCTCACTGCAGCCTCGACCTCCTGGGCTCAAGCGATCCTCCTGTCTCAGTCCCTAAAGTAGCTGGGTCCACAGGCCTGCGCCACCACACCAGGCTAACTTCCTTATTTCTTGTAGACATGAGGTCTGGCTATGTTGTCCAGGCTGGTCTCAAACTCCTGGGCTCAAGCCATCCTCCTGCCTCAGCCTCCCAAAGTGCTGGGATTACAGGCGTGTACCACCTCACCCAGCCCTTTCTCTCTCCCTCCCTCTTTTTTTTTTTTTTTTTTTTCTTTTCTTTTTTATTGCCGGGTGGCTAGGGATATTCTGCTGACTCAGCAGTGAGTAATCAGCTTTGACCTAAATAATAGAATAACTCGAAGTGGCAGCTGCAGTTGCATAAGTGTGATCCAAGTCTGCAGTTCCTTCCCTCTCCCTCTCTATATATCACCACGCCCAGCTAGTTATTTCTTTTCACCATGTTGGCCAGGCTGGTCTTGAACTCCTGACCTCAAGTGATCCACCTGCCTCGGACTCCTAAAGTGCTGGGATTACAGGCGAGAGCCACCGCGCCCGGCCTCCTTTCTGTTTTTTATTTATTTTTAAAAAAAATATTTATTTATTTATTTATTTATTTATGGCATGATCTCAGCTCATTGCAACCTCCGCCTCCTGGGTTCAAGCAATTCTCCTGCCTCAGCCTCCCAAGTAGCTGGGATTACAGGCTCCGGCCACCACACCCGGCTAATTTTTGTGTTTTTAGTAGAGACGGGGTTTCACCATATTGGCCAGGCTGGTCTGGAACTCTTGACCTTGTGATCCGCCCGCCTTGGCCTCCCAAAGTGCTGGGATTACAGGCGAGAACCACCGCGCCAGGCCTCCTTTTTCTTGTTTTAAACAACAATAAAATCGATGCTTAGGGCGGCAGGGGGCGAGGTGGTGCCCTTTTCTGAACTTAGAGAGCTGTGGGGTTCCCGCGATCCAGTCCCTCGTGGGGCCTCCCCGCCCTGTGTCCCGTGCCAGGCCCCGCCCAGCCAGGCCCAGCGGACCAAGAGGGGGCGCCCGCGGGGCCCCAGGAGGGAGGAGAAAAGACTTTGTCCCAAGTTTTCGCGGAGATTCGGCGTCCCCGCTGCGACCAGCACCCCGGAGCCCCTGTCCATCTGGCGACCCCCAGCCCAGCCCCCGAACTTTCAGACACTCCCTGCGGCCCCGCCCCCTCAGGGACCCACTGGGGACCCTCGGACTCCCCCCAACTCCCCTGCCCCCTAAAACCACTTCGATTCCTCAACTGTTCCCCCGGCCAGCGGGAACCCTCGCCATGTCTCGCTCTTACGGGGGCCGGGTGCTGGCCGCAATGACCCTGTTGGGCATCGCGGCGGCCGTGCTGACGGCGCTGGGCGCGCAGCTGCTGTTCCAGCTGCAGGCGGGCCGCGCCGAGCTGCGGGGGCTGCGCGCGGACGGGCTGGGCCAGGAGCTGGGCGCCGGCCCCGGGCTGCCCGAAGACGCGGCCGGGGCGCTACTGCCGCTGGCCGCGGCGCTGGCCGCGCTCGTGCTGGTGCTGGGGTTCACCTGCCTGCTGCTCGCTGCGCTCTGTGGCCACCTGGGCGCCGAGCTGGCGCGGGGGCCTGGCCCCAGGAGGTAGGAGGACCGGCCTCACTGCCCCGGAGGCCCGGCTGGGGGCTGGGTGAACCTGGATGAGCCTCTTTCCCTCTTTTGGCCTCAGGCTGGGGGGACAGCTTCCCTCCCCACTTCCCTCTCCCCACCACTCCGTGCATCTCTGCCTCCCTCCTTTCCTCTCTTCCTCCCTCCCTCCCTCCATTCTATATTTGTTAAATTTGGCGGCAGGCGCAACCACTGCTGTGTCTCCCGTTTTGCAGATGAGGAAACTGAGGCCCAAAGAGGGTCCAGGATCAGCTTGCCTGGATCTCAAACAGGGGAGGCTGAACT